CCTTATTCGGCACCTCAGCGCCGAATGTGGGACCTCGTGGTTCAGCATCCTGCAGCCCGCAGCAGCCAGCGGCACCCAGCGGCAGCAAGGCACCCGATTCGGCACTCAGCCGCCGAATGTGGGACCTCGTGGTTCAGCATCCAGCAGCCAGCAGCAGCCAGCGGCAGGCAGCGGCAGCGAGGCGCCCGATTCGGCACCTCAGGCGCCGAATGCTGCGCCTCGGGCGCCGAATGCTGCGCCTCAGGCGCCTGATTCGGCACCTCAGCCGCCGAATGTGGGACCTCGTGGGTTAGCATCCAGCAGCCCGCAGCAGCCAGCGGCAGGCAGCTGCAGCAAGGCACCTTATTCGGCACCTCAGGCGCCGAATGTGGGACCTCGTGGGTCAGCATCCAGCATCCAGCAGCAGCCAGCGGCAGGCAGCTGCAGCGAGGCGCCCGATTCGGCACCTCAGGCGCCGAATGTGGGACCTCGTGGTTCAGCATCCAGCAGCCAGCAGCAGCCAGCGGCAGGCAGCGGCAGCGAGGCGCCCGATTCGGCACCTCAGGCGCCGAATGCTGCGCCTCGGGCGCCGAATGCTGCGCCTCAGGTGCCTGATTCGGCACCTCAGACGCCGAATGTGGGACCTCGTGGTTCAGCATCCAGCAGCCAGCAGCAGCCAGCGGCAGGCAGCTGCAGCGAGGCGCCCGATTCGGCACCTCAGGCGCCGAATGCTGCGCCTCAGGCGCCGAATGCTGCGCCTCAGGCGCCTGATTCGGCACCTCAGCCGCCGAATGTGGGACCTGGTGGTTCAGCATCCAGCAGCCCGCAGCAGCCAGCGGCAGCCAGCGGCAGCAAGGCACCTTATTCGGCACCTCAGGCGCCGAATGTGGGACCTCGAGGTTCAGCATCCTGCAGCCCGCAGCAGCCAGCCGCAGCCAGCGGCAGCAAGGCACCCGATTCGGCACCTCAGGCGCCGAATGCTGCGCCTCAGGCGCCGAATGCTGCGCCTCAGTCGCCTGATTCGGCACCTCAGCCGCCGAATGTGGGACCTGGTGGTTCAGCATCCAGCAGCCCGCAGCAGCCAGCCGCAGGCAGCGGCAGCGAGCCGCCCGATTCGGCACCTCAGGCGCCGAATGTGGGACCTCGTAGGTCAGCATCCAGCATCCAGCAGCAGCCAGCGGCAGGCCAGCTGCAGCGACGCGCCCGATTCGGCACCTCAGGCGCCGAATGCTGCGCCTCAGGCGCCGAATGCTGCGCCTCAGGCGCCTGATTCGGCACCTCAGCCGCCGAATGTGGGACCTGGTGGTTCAGCATCCAGCAGCCCGCAGCAGCCAGCCGCAGGCAGCGGCAGCGAGCCGCCCGATTCGGCACCTCAGGCGCCGAATGTGGGACCTCGTGGGTCAGCATCCAGCATCCAGCAGCAGCCAGCGGCAGGCAGCTGCAGCGAGGCGCCCAATTCGGCACGTCAG